AAATCCTAGCTCTGCCCATAACCATATGTGTGACCTTGAATGAATATCCTTACATTTTGGTTTTATTTTCCTTAGATGTAAAACAGGATTAACGGGTGACATTTCTTGAAGTCTGATTATTTGCCAAGCACTATGCTAAACACACACTCAAAAAAGGTTAATAATATTGCCATACTTTATGGGATTCTAATGGGAATCAAATTATAAAATAATATAAATGGTTTGGTATGTGTTAAGTGCTAATTAATTAAGACCAATTTAATCATAACTTACAAACTTAATTGAATATTTTGCTTACTCCAGGTCTACCACCATCATTGCATACTGTAGTTAAATGCGACAGCAGTTCTGCTAAATCCTCAAGAGCATATAAAAGGGGGAAAAAGCAATTTTCTTGTTTAAGTGACATAATAACAGAAGTAAGTCAACCTGTATTTTCCGAGTACATGCTCCAAAATAAAAATTAGCCACAAAAACATATGTCTATAGAGGTAGAAACTTTGGTTTTGCTCTACTTTGTGAAGAAGCTTATCACCCCTTGCTCAAACTTGATAATAACTCATGAATTAGGCAAAATAAATAAATAAATAAATAAATAAAAGTGAAAACCCCAAATATTATAAGAAAATCTATTTCAAAGCTACTGTGAACCTATATAGGGTTAGTATGGCATCTTTTCTTCTGGAAAGTCTAGAACTACACCTTTTAATGCATGGATCATGGGCTGGATACCTTCATGTAGGACATCTCTAAACAACTCTCCAAGTCAGCCCTGTTGATCATCTAGAAGCCAACAAAGGTGTTAATGGCTTTATGAGTACTACTTCACAAATAATTCCACTTGTTCTGCATAACAGCAGTATATGAAACAATAACTCTGACGTTCACCTAGCCTTGCCATTCTATATTAAGACTAAGGCTCAGAGAGCCATGGAACTCACACCAGCAATGAGAGCTGAGGCAAGAGTTGAACTCACACCTATTCCATCTCCCATCACTCCTCTTTCCTTGGTCACTTTGCCTTCCTAACCTTCTATAACTACTTATATAAGAACTCCAATAAACAATGAGACTATTGTAGCAGAGATGCCTTGTGCTCAGAAGATGCCTTGTGCTTTGAAAGGATTTTTTAAATTATTATTATTTTACCTAGAAAAGCAGAGAAAGACATGATCACAGTAGATTACCTTAAATAAGGTATCTGAAATAGTAACCAACAATCCTTTAGTATTTCTTGGTCTTTGGACCTTGATATTTTTTTCAAAGAGCAGTAATTATTACGCATCACAAATATTTTAATCTATATACTTGAACATTTCCCAGAGTCACATAATATTGTGTGTGTGTGTTCTCTTTTAAGAACCAGTATCCATCAGGACACTCTATCTTCTCTTGAGTTAATAAGGCAGAAAAGTCAATCAAATGAAACCAATAGAGTCAGGTCTCACTTAATGGCTGGAATCTATTCTGAGAAATACATCATTAGGTGATTTTATCATGGAAAAATCCATAGATTATACTTAATGTAAACTAAGATGGCTACAACATCACAAGGCCATATAGACTTATGGGATCACCATCATGTATACCACCATCCTTGATCAAAGCATGACCGTAGCTCTTGAATAATTTTTCAGTAGGTATTGATGGAAGACCCCTGCATTCATAATACTATAGATACAAATCTCTTTCCTGAAAAAAACTGAAAGTCACGTTAAACATTTTAATGTAACTGTCACCAGAATAAGTACAAAGTAACATGGAATTCTGGGGGATGAAGTGACTTTTTTAAAAGCCATAAAATAAATAATTTGCATTTTGCATTGTTTTAACATTGATGTATGACTTCCCTTCATAAAAATACTCCCAAATAAGAAGAAATTTTAATATCTCTTTCAAATTCCAATGGAAAATCATTTTAAACTACAAGAGACATTTTACATTAAATCAAAGGAACATTCATTAATAATCAAGTTGCTAAGTACTGGAACATACTATTAAATACATGTTTAAGGAAAAAGAAAAAGAAACTTTGCCAATGATTCTCAAAAGGAGAGTATTACACTCTGAAGGTTGTCATGAATTCTTGACTCAAAATAAGAAGTAATCTGTTTACCTAGCAATAGGCTAAACTGTGGAAGCAACCTAGATGCCCTTCAATAGATAAATGGATAAAGAAACTGTGGTACACATACACAGTGGAATATTACTCAGGATTTAACACATGATTGTACATAATTTCCCTGACCTTTTTTTTTTTCTCAAAGACATTGAAACAATTTTCTGCTTTGAATGAGAAACTAGTAGTATCTGTTCAGGATGCCTGTTACCTCAAAATTCCTTCCACCAACTGAATTCACATTAAAGCCATTTGGTCCCTCCATGCTGGTCTCCCAGGCATCTACAGACAGAGTAGCTCATACACTAAATAACACTGATTCATTGTGATTAGCTAGCTGTATGCTCCCAGCTTTAGTCACAGTCCCTCCATGATCCCTGACCTATAAGAAACCTGCCTCTTGTGCTGAGAGTGTATTGGAGCTGGCTGTGTAGACCTGACATGAGGACAATGGGAGATGTCTTGGAAAATACGTACAGAAATAGGTTATTAGATTATCATCCAAGAGCTTACAAAATAACTACATGGAAAGAATGATGCAGGAAGGAAACTGAAAGTATTGACTTATCTATAGAATACATCCACCTAAAACAAGAGGGTACGTTCCCAGGCATCATTTGGGCAGTGGAAAGTTTTAACAACTATAATTTAATATATTAAAAAAAACTCAAATAGCTAGTTAAAATTTATAGAAAAATATTTAATCTCACTAGTAATCAAAAAAAGAAATGAAAATGATAATGAGATTCTATTTTAAGCTTATTTTTAATTGATAATGTTCAATGCTACCTACCAATAGTTGTCGGAATCTGATGTTGCATATTCTGGTGGAAGTAGAAAGTGCTGTTAGAAAGCAATTTGGACACAAGAAGCAATTTGGAGAATACTTAAAATATTCATATTTTCTAACCCAAGAAAGAATATTACAATATTCATGTTTTCTACATCAAGGAATTTTCCTGTGTCAATTAGATTTAGGTTTAGCTACATGTAAGAGAAATCCCAAAACAACTATGGGTAACAACACAGATGTGATCAGAAACAAGGCTACAAAACATAGTGCTTAGTTGGAGATTATCATCCAAAATAAAATTGAGATTCCATTATTAACAAGGAAAAGGAGAATGGATGTTGGGTAGGTAGCTAGCAATTATTGTCCCATTATCTAAGGAGCAAATTTAAACTTAAAATATAGTTTGCAGAAAGTCATTCCTTTTGAGGGAAAAGCCCAAATTTCCAAAAATAGAGGAACTCTTACAAATTGTAAATCTCTTCTACAGAACAAGAAATGTTATCTACAAAGTTTTAAATAATGTTGAGCATAATTATTTAAGAAGAGCAAAATGCATCATAATTAAAGTTTATGCTCTCAAGGATGCAAACCCCATAGAATATTTTCATTTTATTTAGACTTTTCTTCATTAATCATATTTTCCATAATGAGCATATCTTAAATCCATGCTCATAAAATTGTAGGTATTATTTTAAAACATTATAATTAAAGATGAATTCCCGGTTCAGAGAAATAGAATCTCAAATTGGAGATTTTTTTATATTGTTCCAAACAAAATTAATACAAAAGACCAAGCCATAGCCTGGGAACTTTTTCAAATTTTAAGGAAAATTATCCTATACATAGTGAATTGGGAAAAGCAGGGCACCCTCAAATGAACTATATTCAGGTTGCCTGCAGATGTTTTCCTCTACATCACTGAATGCCAGAAGGCAATGGAGCTACATCATTGTTAATTCATCACATCATCTTCATCACTAACATTTACAGAGCACTCACTGGATTTTTATCTAAGCATTTTTATTTGCTTATTCATCATCTTATGAGATACACTTTGTTGTTAGCTCTGTTTTCCACATGAGGAACATGAGGTTCTGAGAAGCTAAGTAATGTGCCCAATGTCTCGCAGATTGTCAGTAGTGCCACTGAAAGTCAAGACAGTGTGATTTCCCCAAAACCATATTTTTTTTCTGTTTACCTTCTATAGAACTTTGAAGGAATGCAAATTGTGATGTAAAGAAGTTATCACTGATATGCACAAGATTTTAGAAAACATACCTCCCATCCATGTTGTAGTTCAATAATGCTTTAGTCAGTTTTTCTGCTGCTGTGACTGAAGGATCTGACCAGCAGAACTGTAGAGAAGGAAAAATTTATTTGAAGATTCACGGTTTCAGAGGTCTTAGTCCAGGTCTTAGTCCATTCCTCAGGGATGGAGGTGAGACAGAACATGGCAGAAGAGTGTGGTAGAGTAAAGCAGCTCTCTTGGTGATGATCATGAAGCACAGAGACAGACTCCAGCTCCAGATACAAAATATATATGCCATAGCCACACCCCCAATGAACCACTTCCTCCAGCCACACCCCACCTGCTTCTAGTTACCACTCTGAATTCCATCAGGGATTAATTCACTGATTGGGTTAAGATTCTCACAATCCAATCATTCCTCTTCTGCATCTTCTTGCTTTGTCTCACACATGAGCTTTGGGGAAACACCTCATATACAAACCACAACAAATAACTTCTAAAAATCTTCCTTAAAATGACTCAGCTCATCAAACTAACTAAAATCTTAGAACATATAAAAGCAATAATTTTTAATGGGATAGGATGAATGCTGAGAAGTATAAATAATGGATTTAACTTGAAATAAAAAATGTTAAGAACAAAACAATTTTTCATGACACATTTTTAGAAAGCAGTCAGACTTGGCTATGAGGCCATATGTAGGCCACTATTGTCAGATGTGGCCTGGCTGGCTGGTGGGGGAATTAGGCTGCAGTTCCCAGATGTATCTTCTCTGGCCACAAGTGTCTCCTCCTGGGTTACTTCCTACGTCTGAGTACCATTTTATTTTTGTCTTTCAGCTGAAACCAAGATCTGTTTCAAATACTACCATGGAGTGAGTGGAGCCCTGAGAGCTACCACCCCCAGTGTCACCGTCAAAAACTCAGCAGCTCCTGTAAGTCCTGGCTCTGCCTCTTTGTTCAGACCTAACCCTGTTGCTTCTTTACTTTCTTGTTATTGTATGTGTGCACACATTTATGTGGGTGTGGGTATGCATGCGTGCACGCACGTGTGCACGCCTGCACACACACACACACACACACACACACTGAGATATATTGATAGCAAGATTAAAAATAGACAGACACACGTCAAAATAGGAGGAGGAATGTGGCCAAAGCCAATTTTGTTAGTTCATGCCATTTGTTTGTTAGAAAAATGCCAAACTTTGGTATTTTCCCTAGATAGTCAATGTTTGTATTCAAGATATACTTAATGGCAGTGAGTAAGTCTTTTCTTGGGAACACATTTTTTAAATTTCTTGGCTTTAAATATTTATATTTTCCCATGACTTAATTTTTTTAAGCTTGTAAATAAATGAATGAAATAGAATGTATTGGCTCAGATTCATCTTAGTCATGGAAGTATGAAATGAGAGACCTCGAAAAGACTAAAATCTCATCCTTTTTTTTTTATAGAAATGAGAACATATTGCCCAGTGAGACTAAGTAGTGTACCCCAAACCATACAGTTGGCCGGTTTCAGGTCCAGGAATTAAACCACATCTTCTGTTCCCTACTTTGTGGCTCTGCTCAGACCTATGGAAATACGTCATTTTTTCCTAAAATACAGTCTACATCTTTGTGGTGCTTCTTACTCAGATCTCAATACATCTGATTAGGGCTGAAATCTACCTGAAAATGGCATTCCTTGTCCTTTCAACATAAATTTAAAATGACCAACTGGGGAGTTTGAACAGAAAACAGTGAGGACTTTGTCTTGCAAGTGGAAGTGAAAAAGGCCTTTTCCCCCTATTTAAAAAAAAGATAGAGAAAGAATTTGAAATGAAACAGAATGATTCATAAAGGACATTGATCCTAAAAAAAAGTGCCATTTTGTCATTTCACAAATCAGTCTGGCAGTGTCCTGAAGAGTGCTAATTGAGGACTTGGTAATAGGCAGGAAGATAAGCAAACTTCAGACCTGAATCTTGGCTAACTCTATGCTGAGGCATCCAGCAGGACTAGACCCTGAGCTAGGTTAATCATGAGAGAGACACACACTTCAGGAGAGACAGGGAGAAGGAAGGACCGTGCATACTTAATGGTTACCACTTTTCCCTGTACTACCTTTCAGATTGGAACATGATTTCCATCACTTTACTGAGTGGGACAGGAATTTAAATGTGGCATCTGGAGAACTATCCTCAGAGTTCCAGGCCTCTTCTTCTGTCCCATATGTAAAAGCAACTCTCAAAAGGAGTATCTGGGAAAGCCAAGCAGGTCCTGATACATTTTAGCCAACCTTTGGGTTGGAAGGCCAACTACATAAAGGCAAAAAATAAATAATAAAATGAAACAAAATCAATCAAACCAGAGCCTGGGTGGACAGAACAGAAAGGTATTGAACACAATAGACAGAGAAGGAAGAAGATAGGAAGTGGAATAAAGCTAATTCAGGAAAAGTATTCTTCATGCAGGTCTGGCCTTTGCCATTACATACCAAGTCACTTTGGGAGGCAGTTACTTGCCAGACACTCTGGTCCCTCAGCAGGGTGGGCCTTGCCTGTTGATGGGACTCGCCCATGGGCTCAAGACTGAGACAGGAAAGGAGAGTTCTCCACCTTCGTCTGCTCAGACGTGATATTATAGGAAAGTGTTGGCCAGCCTCAGAATTGAAATTGACCTTTAGTTTAAAGGCAGCTCCCTAGAGTATTTGGCTTCTCTGAACTCAACCTACTGAATACTCCAGATGTTTACCTGTTTCTCAGACCAATGCAAAGTGTGACACACGTCATCACATTGACATGCAATGTAAGCTTAAAATGAAGCAAGACACAACTACCCAGAAAACAGCCTTGAAATATAAAAGAGTTTTCCATAGCTGGATAAAATATCAAAAGCAAATGCTTTCTAGGAGCTGCCATCACCAGAAACAGGGATTTCCCTCTGAGAAGTGAAAACAAGTGCTTTGATCATATCATTTGACATAAAAGTTCAGGAGACGGCATCCATTCTGTTTCATCCTGACTTCATCTTTGTCACTCCATGTATGCTACTGTTGCTTGTACTTAACACTGAGACACTTCGAAATATTTTGTCATATTGCTTCTGTCATTATCATCTCTGTAATGATTTTCTCATATAAATCCATAGACACTTTGATTTTAATTGACACTCTAATATTTATCCCATTGGCAATTACGTTTCTTATTTTAATCACCAAGCATGCAAGAGTCCTGTCTTAAAGCCCATGTGACTTAAAGGTCAGTGAGAGTAATCCAGTGTTCCATCTGCCACACTGAAACTGAGCACATGGAGTTTTATGGCAGAAGGGAGCATGCACTTTCTTGAAAAACTGTATTTCAATGTGCAAAGTTTCATAGTAGCCAAGCTACCGTTGCCTTTATTGTTTGATGGTATGGAACACTTTTCATAGTAGTTTCTCTTAACATCACTCTCGTCGACTCCCAGCACTTCTAAGGCAGATAAGAAGACTATTTCAGTTAAGTGATCGCTTGGTTATACAGTGATGGGACAAAACCAAACCTAGCTTATACTTTGTAACCCGGTTCAGTTATTAGTATAATCTAGCCACCTTATGGGTTAAATAAGCCTTTGCCATCCTGTCTGGAGGCTTAAGCACACTGTTTCTAAAGAGAAATGCTATTAAGTTTCACAAAATCAGTTGACCAATAAAGTTTGAGTGTCCACTTTCGAATTGAGTATTGCTGCTGCTGCATGAATCTCTTATTAAGAGTGGCTGTTCAGTGGCATCATATCATGCCCAAAAGGTCCTTGAGTTCATTTGTGATAATATACTAAACTTGTAATTCTTAGAAAAGGAAGAAAAAGATGTCAAATGGTCCTCTGGTATAACCAGTACTTTAATTCTCTAAGCATAGCAGGTTCTTGATATGAATTAGTTCTTTTTTCTCATTTTCTCTTTATCCCTTATCTTTGTCTTCATCCTCATGGCAACTGTTGAGGTCTTTGTTATAAAAAGAGGTTGTCATTTACTCTTAGGGTTCTGGAATTCTCATTTCCTTGGTAGCCTTAATTGTAGATTAGAAACTATGATGGGTGGAAGTTGTGGAGATAAATGAAATGTAAGCCCTGTCATTGAGAACCTGGAGTTACTCTGTCATAAATTGTGATGATAGTACATGAAGCCCACTGTACTGGAGCATGAAGCCTCCCGTGCTGGCACGTGGACAAAGGTGCCATAAGATGCCTGGGGCAGCTGTGCTGGCTTTTGAAGGAGAGAGTATGTGGGCTAAGGTGGGCAGCCTGAATGGGACTTTGCCAGATCTGAAAGGGAAGCAAGACAAGGTTGGTGAAAGGAACAACATGTGCAAAGACACAGGGACATGACCCGGCACAGGCCTGCTGGAGAAGGAGATGTAAGTTGTGTTAGGTCTAAAGAACAGGTGACTAATTTTCTCCATATATACCTCTGTACTTCCTTTCTCATGTTTTGTATCTTGAGAGCCTCTATGATATATTTTATATTTCCTGTAGAAAAAATCATTTTATAGGTAAGCTTCACCTCTCAATATTATTACCTTTGCTATCTTTACCATGCTCCTTACAGCATCTCTTAAGAAGCTCTAATATATTTTCCCTCCCTATTTATGTATAAAAAGAAGGAAATCTATCCATACCTACAATTTGCCAAAGAAAGAGTTGGTTAAACCGTCCTCAGACCACCCCAGGGCCCATCATTGGTTTGGTTCATCTGCAAGGTCTTCTGGGCTAAAATGAGAGCCCTTCCTCTGTCTTCTGGTTCTCTCCAGTGCTGGAGATTCAGGTACAACCTGCAGCTGTCCTTGATGCAATGCCATATAAATAAGACCTTTTAAAGTCCTGAGCACCCTGCACCCCATGCCTGCTTACAAGACTGTACCTGAGAATCACCCACCTGACAGCGCAGCTGCATCCCCACCCACGCAGAGGCCTAGGGACCTAGCTTCTGGTTATAGGTAGCTGTTTGAGGCATAACTCTAGCAGGCTCAGGAGGCAGTGTCCAAACAGTGGTGAGAAGACCACAAGAATGAGGGACAGGCAGAAGACATTCTGTTCCTACCTTAGATGGGACCATGTATCCTGCAGTAGAGGGGACCCCCTCACGATTTAGAGGCTGAACTATGTATACTCCAAGAATGTATCTCTTTTATTGTCTTCAACATTAAATTTTGCAGAAATCCCATCAGGATTTTGGTTATGCTGGATTATTCTTATCCCTACATTAGATGACTATTGTCTATTTTTTTCAGTCTGTATCTCATGGCTTTTTCAATGAGAAATTGGAAGGGAACATATCTGAATCCTTTTGAAATATCTTTCCATAGCAGTGATCTTCTAGGCCACCAGCAAGTGGCTTAATTGGACCTCAGAATGACAGGGTTTCCCAAGACAATATTTTTTAATTGTATTTTTTCACTAGTTGTGCTATATAAAGAATTGCCTCAGTAAAAGAGGGACTTGGGAAAAGTTCAGAGCCATATTCCTCAACTCAATTTAGTTGTAATTCCAGCTCTCATGCTCTCACCACATTTTTGCCCCTAAAACCATGTTTTTAGACTTGGTCTCAGGTTCAGTTTTATGAATTTTTTGAGGGGTGTGGGGGGAAGGAGACAAGACTTTTATTTTTCTACTTGGATTTTTAACAGTAGTCATATGTGTTAGTCAGTTTTCCATTACTATGACTAAATACCTAAATAAACAATCTATAAAGAAGAAAAGTTTATTTTGACTCACAGTTTTAGAGGTTTCAATCTATCATCAGTAGGGCCCATTACTTTTGGGCCTGTGACAATGGCTGAAGCATATGGTGGAGGAAGCTGTTCATCTCATGGCAGACAGGAAGCAAAAAAAGAGGAAAACAGAAAGGGACTGAAGTCCTAAAATTGCTTTCAATGACCTTACTTTCTTCTAGTAGAACCAACCTGATAAA